TTGCATATACATTTTTTTTAACTTATGCATATTATATTTTGCTTCACTTTACTGAATTATTTAAATACTTCTAATTAAATATTTCTACGTATTGAAAAAAAGATTTAGAATTTTGTTTCATGTATCAAAAATTCATTTGTTTGGCATTGGATATGAAATATTTAGCAAGTTTATGATCTTAGATTGAACCATGATTGAACAGTGCCATATGAACTAAATTTTACAAATTAGTTTACCTAAGATTTTAACTAAAGTAATAATGTTTCTTAAATTATTGGTAAGAAAAATGTAATTTAGAAATTGTAATAGCCAAAAAGCTGCTTATGCAAATGCTGGGTATGCAAATATAAAAATTATAGACTATTATATATTATATAAATTATTGAAGCAATGTTATTGGTTGGAAGTAATAAAGGTGATACTGTTTTTTTACCGTAGATACTATATTTATTCTTTCTGAATTTCTTATACTGATAAAAAACTGCAGTTTCCAATGCGTATGTAGTTATGGTTTATTCTATACTGATAAAAGTATAGAATAGGACAGGATATTAAAAAATTTGGAACTTAAATTGTAGACGTGGGAACAGGACAACGTCTGTCGGGTCATCTAGTATATATATACATATTTATTATATATATGCATATATAACTATATGAATATTTATATAATTGAAATGTGCGCAACTTTTCAATACCCGTTTTTCATAATTATTGTTATTATCAGTTGAAATATTCCTACTACAATGTATGCTAATTTGATATTATACACTGCAATGAATGTCAACTTTACTATCAATTATTTACATTTTTTTCGATATTGATTTTAATGAATAGTGTTTTTGATTGATTTAAATGAATATTTTAGGTTTAGCAATTTAGATCAAATGTACAATTATTTATTACGATTTGACTAAAAATTTATCGATGTCATTTGCAATTGATATCTTTCAAACAAACTTATATTTAGTTTTTAATTTTCAAAAATCCTTTCAGGGTTTTACAAAAGCTTGGACGACCATATTGGTCTGCAATAATTCAGAATGACTTGAAACCTCAAGCAAACATTCAAGCCTATCATAAACAACTGATTTTTAAATGATGTTGGTTTACCTCATAATACGATGAATAAATTAACAATTAAAGTCGATATTTAGCTATTCAAAAAAGTTGAATTAGCTTTCATTATCAATATTTACGTTAATATTAATTAACCCGATAACCAAAATACAAAAACAGAAAAATAATGGTATATAAGGAAAAGTTTGTATTTTTACTACATTAATAAAAAGTCTATTTCAACTCAATACATCTAAATAATGAATTTTGCTGTAATATTATTTAATATACTTTGTGTTTGTATAAGTATATCATTTGTAGATGGAAGAAATAATCGTGGATTTGTAAGACATCATAAACGGGGATCGGTTCAGAAAATTACAAGAAATGGATCTTCGGATCCAGAGATCAACAAAAGAGTTGCAGAGATGACAAGGTGACACAAATATAATATATATATATATATATATATATATATATATATAGTATAGAGATGAATAATCGATGAATAATTGATTTATCAGTGTTATTTATCATAATTTATTGTGTGGCAATATGATAAATTTAAAAGTTCTAAACATAGACTTAAAACTACCTAAATTGTACTTTTGATATAAAAATTAAAAAAAAATAATTAAAAAATACTTGAATATTAGCGTCATAAATATGATTTTATTTATGATTTCGTTAATTTGTGCATATGGAAAGAAGTGAAACAGTAAGTAAGTGTACTTTGTTTCTATTTAAATGTTGACTATTGACTTCATAGACATCAAATTTTTTTTTAAAAAAATCACGTAAAAAAATTAAACTCTGATTTATTTTTAAAATATTCATTAAAATTTTCTACTCTCTAAAATAAAAGCGTTTAGGTATTATTATTATTATCATGAAGAATCTAACCATCAAGTTTAAAAAAATATTGAAAATTTGTGAATATTTGGAATTCATGTGTCTGACTGAATTAGGTTACTTCATATATCATTATTTTTATATTACTTTTATTATTTTGGTTTGGTTTTCTTGTTTTGGCTCAAATTAATTTTTTTGTATATTTTTTATATTCTATTTTCTCTTCACCTTGCCATTTTATATGTAGTTTTATAGTTTCAGTTTCGATTGACAAAAATAATTTTTTTAAATATTCTATAACTTATTAAATCTCGTTATACTTCTAGGTATATCGTACATAGGTCCAACTGGGCTTCAATTTCGACAATTTCATTCGATGATGATATACTGAGTTACCCATTTAATGCCTTCAAATCCATGGTGGATGGTCCTGTTGATGAGAGTACAGGAATTCCATACTTCTATTTATCTATAACTGATAATACTGCTTTGGATTTAGAATTAGGTGCGAATTGATTGATGTAAATACATTAATGAATATTAAATTAAGAACCCATTTATATCCCCTGTAACTTTAGAAGTGGTTGATAACTCCATTGAAACTATTGAAAACGTACGATAGCAATCTTAAAACAAGATCTTTATAATAAGTCACATCAAAACCTTCCTTATTTTATTAGATTATATCGATATTAGAAACTCCGTCTCTATTCACACAAATACACTCTCTACAATATTCATCTCTATATGTCACTATTTACCTTTCACAATATATAGTCTACTCACATACATACATTATTCTTTTGAAATTCTATCATGCTATTTATGTCAACATATTGTTATATTATCTAACAAAAATTCAGTGAAAATTCTATTTTTTGTCAATATGACATAATAGTAAGTATGATAATAGTATATTGGGAACGTCAAAAAAATCTTCTAATTCTCACAGAAAATTTGTTGAAATCACCATTATCGGGTAAAAACCCTAAAGAGAAATATTATTTTAAAAGAAAGAATACGATATACCTACCTTCTTGTAGAAATAAATTTATTTGACTTAAAAACATTTTTGTCTGAAGCCGAAAATGAGTTAAATTATTTACAGATAACAGAACTACTATAACATTCACCATGGATCAAGACGGTTATTGCAAAAAGAAAGGATTGGATGCAGATGATCCAAAATGCGCCAGAGTCATCCTACTTGGACAAGCAAGAAATTTATCTCAAGACACAGAAGAGTATAAGTTTGCTTATAAATCTCTAATAGAGAGACATCCAAATATAGTAAACTGGCCTGAAAAATATATAATAAGTGCTATCCATCCGTTGGATGTTGTTCTAATCTACGGCTCTGAGGAACTACGTTGTTCGAAAATTCCACTTTATTTATCAACTAAACCAAAATATATACCACTTAATAAACTTTGATTGGAATCATTAATATATTTCAGTAATTTTACCACAAATCTGTTACTTCAATCTCTAATTAAAATTAAGTTATTTAGCCGTGCTACATAACACAAATGATGTGGCAAAAAATATTAACAAAATATTAGTTGTTTAATATTTTAACTAGGTTGCTTAAATGAAATTATCAGTTAATGTTATATGTAAATTTAAGAACAGAATTAAATTTATAATCTATTAAAAATATTATATATATTATATATTGCAATAAAATATTATAACATTTATATAGTTTAGCAAGTTGTTTTATAACAGAATTGAACAGAAGTAAGAACAAATTAATTTAAAGTTGAAACCTAGACAAAAACAAAAATTAAATTAATCTTTTGCAGGTTGATCAAATACAAATATGCATATTTACTAATTGTGAATAAAAGTATTATATATATATTTGAGTTTTTAGAAATAGTTATATGTGCATAGCCATTATTCATTAGTAGATATTCCATTTTTAGGTAATTTGTCTAAACTTCTCGAATATAAAAATAATTCTTCATGTAAGTTCAATAAAAAATGTAAAAACAGTTCAATAAAATACAATATTAATTTATTATTAAACGGCCCTTTCTGATAGCAATTAATTGGATACGCGCAATTAAGATTAATAATTTTGTTTAGAAAAATAAATTTGAAATGTATTTGTTTTTCAAACATCTTTGATTGTAATTTTAGCTCCTTTTATTTCAATAATTTCCAATTTTATGAAAAAAAAAACAATTTTTAAGTTATTTGATATGCGGCAAGATTAGCTTCAAAATAACCAAATAAATCATAATCACAAATCAATTTTTTAATCATTATTTTGTTATTTTGGAGCTGATCTTACCGCATATCAAATAACTAATATCGACGCGTATTTTAAAGAAAAGATTGTACATAAAAAAATATAATTTTTTAATAGCTTTTAAATTTATGTTTATGCAATTTATTTTGTTCAATCATCAATTTTCGAAGCATCTTCAGTTTTTCAAAGTCTCAACAAAAAAAGAGCAAAAAACTTATATAATCAGTTGCAAATTATGGCTCAAATATGCTTTAAGAAGTCATTCTTATGGCATATTCAATTTACTGGCGATAATAATAATTTACATAAAACATTTTGTAATGTTTATTAATATATCATTTAGTATTTAATATTTTTTTCAAAGAAACAATTCGTTTTTTTTTTGGATAATTACTACTCTAGGTGCTCTTACCAATTACGTAAAATAAAACAATGCGTCAACAATGTTGAAAATAAATTGAATTGCGTCTTCAAATTTAATGTAGATATTTTCATTCAACTTCATTCGAAAACCCAATAATTTATGCAAACAAGTGATAAATATTATAATCATTGTTAAGTAAGACGTATTTACTGCACATAAAATAGTACTTGTGTATAAAAATTTTAGTAATTGGGTGTTTTTCTAAGTTTATGAACGAAGATAAGACCTTTCGAAATAGTATATATAAATGCTGTCTAATTTAATACCAACCACTTTCTTTGATGTCGTGTAATTCATTGCATTACATTTTTATAGTAAAATTCTTGTAACAAAGATGAAGAGTAATTTGATTTGTTTAATTTTTGTAATAACTATTTGTGTATCTGTCACATATGGTAGAATGTTAAAATCAGATTTAAAACACATGCAAAATACTTATAAAAATATTGATAATCGCAAAACGATTATCAGTTCTCCTAGTAATTTTGCAACAAGAAATGGTTCCTCTGATCCAGAATTAAATAAAAGAGTAGCTCAATTAACAAGGTGAGAATAAATTATAATTATAAATTATATGCAATCCAAAAAAATGTGTTAGGTAATCGAAATTTTTATTACTTATGTAAGAAATGGCATTTTTGCTACGTAATTTTCAAATAGTCTCAGAAAACTATAATTCTATTAAAAACCAGAACTTAAAATTAAAATTTGCAATTGTTTAATAAATTAAAATTTGCAAATTTGAATTTACTTTTTATCTAATTTTTCTCGTATTTTACGGAAAATTTTAATTTTAATTATATGATTTTGAGTATATTTTTTTGTCTTTTCCAATTTTTGACACTGCAGAGTTTTGCCATGCCATTGAAACAATTAGTACTTCATCAAAGTTATTGACTAATATTGACAATTAGATTCTATTAAATGTATATTTCGAAAGATTCATATTATTAATACATTTAAGTTATTAATAACTTAAAAAACGTGAAAAATTTAAAATGTTGTTAGTACATATTTATATTGACAATTTAATGGATTTTAACATTCATATTTGATAGAGATCGTTAACTCTATAAAATCATCATTCATCAATCTGGACTAAAAGTCGTTAATTATTATAATAATTTTCTACTCAGAATTATTAATATATTTCCATTTGTTTCAAAGATATATTGTCCATAAAGCAAACTGGGCTGCCATTTCGACAATATCCAGAAATGAAGAAATAAAAGGATATCCCTTCAATAACATCAAAACTGTAGTAGATGGTCCACATAATAACAGCACAGGAGTACCATACTTTTATTTGCCAACAGAAGACTTTGCTACTTTGGATTTAGAAGAGGGTAAGTGAAATCTATTATATACAACTTAATATTTAGTTTTAATTTATAGGAGATTAATTATTAGCAACCGATTAGTAACAGATTGAACTGTACATGGTTGAGATAGAATAGGTGTTTGTTGAGATAGGATAAACGATGTTATTAGAAAAAAATTGGATAAAAGTCCACATAAAACAAGCAATCACTGATATGTTTTGAATCTATTCGGATTTCGAAATTAGTTCAAAATTCTTGTGAACAAAAAATTAAGAATTTAACTTAAAATCAACCGGTTTGCAAGGCATGATCGATTGTCGCAAAAAACTAGTCAATGTAAATGCTTATCAAGTTTTTTTAACTAATTTGTAATTTTTGAGATTGGTGCAACCATTTTTGATAAAACGTCTGCGAAAGGTCAAATTTTGGCTTATACGCACACCCACATACCTTTCCCAATATTGGTATCTTCAACAGATTCATTAGGACTTGATGAAAACATATACTTAATCATAGAAAATTTAAGTTTATTTATATGAAATGTAAATACATATTTGTAACAAAAGATTATAATTTTATTTTAAATTACTATGTAGATAACAGGACCACTATAGCCTTTACAACTGATGAAGACGGCTTTTGTCACAGACAAGGTTTGGACGTTGACGATGCAAGGTGCGCCCGAGTAATAATTGTTGGACAAGCACATTTTCCTGAACCCGGATCAGAAGAGTACGAATTTGCTTACAAATCCTTGATATTGAGGCACCCAAATTTGAAAAATAAACCAGGCACACACAAAGTGACTGCAATTGCACCAGATGATGTTCTTTTGGTTTACGGGTCTGAAGAGTTACGATGTTCAACCGTGCCCTTATATTTTTCATCAAAGCCAAAACATTATACGCTTCAGCAACTTCTAGGATAATGATGAGAAACTTGCATAATGTTTTAAATTAAACTCAATCAGACATAAACGTATGATGAATTTTATAAGTATCAGTTTCAAGAAATAAGCGATTGTTTATCATATTTGCCAAATTCTTATATGATCTCAAGCCCTCTTAATTAAGTAAACATTCAAAACCGGTATTAAAAATATTGAAAAACAATTGCTTATTATCCAATTAACAACCAAATGCGTAATTTGAAGTATTGTAATCAGTTCAATTTGCATAATTGTATTTTGCAGCAATTTTCACAATTGCCTTAAGACAATTAAAATTAAAATATCTTGAAATTCATATAAATATAAATAAGTATACTGTTTCATTTTAGTTGAAATACATTCAGTACACCTTTAAAATAAAAACTAGTGGGGTGTGTGGCATTGTGCCTTAAGGCAAATTGCTGGAACATCCCGTACCGTAACGAAATGTTCGAGGAATACTAAATGTTTTCAAATAGACTATTATAAATAAATACATACTGTAACATTGTCTAATATTTATAAGAATTATATAAACTGAATTTCAAAGTTGAAATTATTTGTTTAAAGTATATTATAACTTTAGTCAGAATTAAAATTAGAATCTGAATTATTTTCGATATACAAAAAAATAATTTTTTTGAAAACAAATTGAAAAAAAAATTTTGGAACAAATTTTTTTTCCAAATTATTTTGTTAAAACAAGCATATAGTTCTTTGAATCATTTAAATCGGACGCTTAGTTCTCTCAAAAACTGCCATTTTTCATATTTAGCTCTGTATCTTCGAAATGGCTGGGCCTGCCTTTGCCAAAAACTAATCATCTCTTCTCCCAATCATTACAAATATTTTTTAGGTCATTCAAATCGGATGCTCCGTTCTCTCAAATACTCGATTTCTATTATCTGCACTCTTTGCTCTTCATCTCCCTAAGTGCTGGACCTGCCTTTGCTAAAAACTAATCAGCCCATCTCCCTATCAATAGGAATCGAATGTTTTTTGAACCATTCAATTCGGTTGATCCGTGCGCCCGAAAACGTTACTGGAAAATTGTATCCATACATATATACACTCACACACATCCATTTTTTCTGAGGTATGCCAAAATGTTCAGAAACCTTCAAAACGTCGTGAAGCGCAAAAAATTTCAATTTCGATTTTTGGACGATTACAATAACTTACCCTACGGGAAGTTAATAAGTTCTTTTCCGTTTAAAAAAAATAACTAATTTCAAAAATGGTTCTGAATGATTTAAAAAATGAGAATTATATTAAATTTTTTAACTACAAGACGAATAGAAAACCAATATCAAATAATTCTAATTATAATTGTAATTTGTAATATGCTCTATATTTACATATAAAAATAAATCATAAAATAAAACTGAAACTAGATTGAAATTTTGGGTCATATAAATAATTATTTTTAATATTGTGATCGGTATATAATAAAAAAAGCTTTGAAAAATTAATTTGGATTAAAAAAGCCCTCTTATGATCAACAAATGTATTGGCTGCATTGCCGCAATAATTTGAAATATCAAGATACGTACATAAGTCAATAAAGTATATTTTAATTGTTTTCTATTAATGTTTCAAAATCCATATTAACCCTTTTCACTCGCGAATTTCAGAATTAATATGTATCCGCGGCATCCAAGTGAAAAGCTAGGAATTTAGTAAATAATTACAAATGAAAATGTGTATTATTAGGATTACATAAGATTAATTATTCGTAACATAAATAATAAATACATCATTTATGATGCACATATGCTCAGTTATCATCTAGTCTTTCATTAACGGTATAGCGTCAAGGTAATCGTGAACGTTTCAAGAGCAAAAGAAATGCACGTTAACATTTCTTCCAGATTTATTGATGTAGAGAGGTGGTAAATAAATTATATCTCAGGTTGTTTGAATTGAAAAAGCCATTCTAATGATCAGTGGTAAACAACTGGAAGGAGTCAAACTATCGAAACATTAAGAACCAACGAGTGCAGGTAAATGTAATAGACTCTACAATAGAGATGTTTAGTAGCTTATTGCTAATAAATTATAATAATAATAAAATAATTAAAAATATTGATGAATAATAAGTCAATCAATAATATTATGCAATAAATGCATACATTTTTACATAAAAATATATTTCATAATTTGTATTCAAGTGCTAACCTTTTCAGGCATTGTTGCAATAAGTTAGAATCACCACAACTAAAAAAGACACTACTGAGTTCTAATACAAAATACATAAAATTGATAGAACAACATTGGCCTTTACCACCACAACTAAAAAAGACACTACTGAGTTCTGATACAAAATACATAAAATTGATAGAACAACATTGGCCTTCCAAAAATCGACGTTAATGGGTACAAATGTCATCGCAACAGCTTTTTAAAGTCTCACTGTTGATTGCAAAAATATTGCAAAATCTCATATTCTGCAATCTCTACACTTGTTTTTTTGCAATTTTTCTGTACTCAATCACACTAAAATATTACCCTTCATTAAATTCTGCTTTCTGTTCTAATTTTCAATCAAATTTATAAAGAATACGAAAGATTTATTAAATAGTTTATTCATAATTTAACCACAGATTGAAAGAAAGCATAAAGAAATATTTTGAAGAGAAGAACATGTATATCTTACGCCGTTAGGTATATAACTTAAATATTTATTTCCGTTCTCAATAAATTATAACTTTAATATAATTTATAAATGAACATTCACAAAGCAAGCAAATTTAAAATTAATTTTACTGTAATGAGAATGGGAAAATATATTCATATATAGGATAGGGCGGGGCACAACGGTCCAATATGACTCGGAGCAATTATATTGTAAAAACCAAACCAATTATATCACAACAAATAACACATATCAAACAAACGACTATCTGACTATGTTCAAAAAAACGCCCAAGGTAATGCTGTTTTTGTGCAGTTTTTCAAAAAATTGTTATCTGGTCATTTTTACCCCATGAGTGAGGTAAAATCAAAACAGATAAGAGGTTCAATGTCATGTTCAAAGAAATTTAAAAAGAATTTTAAGAAATAATAGCCACGTTATTCAACCAATGCAAAATACCAATTTCTTGTTCTTATATAACCACTATAGTAGCTTATATGTGGGTGTAGTAAAAAAAGACCAACTGATCCATTGCCCAAAAAAGGCGCTTCTGGGCAAAGGATCTTCTCCAAACAATAAAAAATGACAAAATACCAGATCAAGGTTATATTGAATTATACATGAAATTTATATTTGGCATTAATTGAATATTGTAGCTATTATTTTGTAAAATCCCTTTCAAATTAAAAATAAAACCCTAGATGTAATTGCTAGCTATCCCATTTTATCCCACTTATAAGGTAAAAAGGACTAAGGGACAAATTTTTGAAAAAGAAACACACATATTCAACAAATGCAAAACACTAATTTTATGGGTACATTTTTACAGAAATCTCTATATACAACCTTGATCTAGTATTTCGTCAGAAATAATGATCAGCAGAGTTGTAATGACCATTTATTTAACTAAGCTCTTGTAAATTTGCTTTTTTCAATTTGATTTACTTCTTTATTTACTATTTTTTATTGTTCTGTTATTATTCAACTGAATCTTTACCTTTGCCATGGTAAAGGTTCAGTTGATCCTTTTTACCCCACCCACATTCATATTTAAAACACTAACAAACAATGATTGAGAATAAGACAAAATAGAAATAGAAATATTAAAAAAATGAATGTAGTAAAACACCAAAATTAATTAGTTACAAGTTACAACTTTTTATATAAAGCTTCATCGCACTAAGGATAAATTAAATACATAAACAACTCCAAACGTTATCTACATTAATTGTAGTTTTCTCTGAACTACCTAATTTATTTATTAGTTTTTACTAATAATTTGATAAATACCTAAATATATTATTTTATACAGTAAAAATGCAGTTCATTGAAAATTAGTTTTAGATAGATATTTTGGTGCATAATTTAAAGTGCATATGGACATATTGCAATGCAGGTACGGAAAGTTTTTTTAATACCTTTGAGCCTTGGTAGTGAAAGTGATTGAGAACATGTAGTTGAATTTAAAACATTTCAATATAATTCTAATTTACCATAATATTGAGTTGGCCACAACTGCTATAAGCGTGGCACCACTTCTTCATACGGAAGCGCAAGACAGTCATTCATCGTTCGAATCTAGTCGTGGACAGTCGATGTCCATCTTTTTATACAATTTTATCTTATTACTTTTTCATGTAAATTACATGTAATAAACGGTTGATTATCGATGATTATTTACGATTCTCGATGATATATTGATATACGCAAAGACATAAAGAATGAGAAATAATCTGACTTTAATACCCTGAGAAAAATAGTATTGAAAGAGTAATGATGATATATTATCTGTGATAGCTGGTAATAAGCGAATTTTCATATTCGTACAATGTCACGTAATTTATCTGAAATTATATGATATGATGTGAAATTTTCCCAACTTTATACTCATTTTATATGAAAAGATGTGGCTAAAAAGAGGTTATTTTAAAGTTTATAGTGATATAATTTTTCAAACTACACACATACATATGTGCATATATATTAAATATAAGCACCTAATCCATATAAAACACAGAAAACTTTTGGTAGTACACATGTCTAAATCGAATTCCAATCGAGTAATTGGACGTCCAGGTATGATGGTAAAAGTAATATATGACACTAATCCACTATGACTTAATTAAAAGAAATACTTCAAAATGAACTAAATGTAGCAATAATGAACTTAGAAAAATCTAAAAAAAAATACTATTCAATATATGAATAAATAATATTTATGCATATTTATTAAATATGCATGTTAACTGCATACTAAAACAGAATTGTATAGTTCACCTCTAATCAAAATAAACAAACCGCAAGATACTTATAGTGGTTACCGCAAGAATATTAAATTTTATCTCAATCTTTTTATTAATAGCAAATCATAAAATAGTAGAAAAAAAGGCAGCCAATATAAAATATAGTTGAGTAAATGCAGCTTTGGAAAATCGATATAAAACAAAGTCTCGTATATATGCGGTTATAATGCTAGTTTTTCCCAAGTATACTATCTTTTTGACTGTATTCGCAAAACGA